ATAAAGTGGAGAAAAGGATACCTGTGTGCACTGTTGTGGGGAATAAAGTGGATTGCATAGTATGGGTGTTCCTCAAAAAACAGAGTAGGGGTCTGAGAGGTAGTAATAGTGGGGAAGTACACAGGTCTTCAACCCTGGGCACCAGATATGGTCCCTTTGCACTAATGGGAGGGATCTGAGTGCAGAGTTAGGAGTAAGCCCATCAGCACTGCTGATGTAGCCTCAAAACACACAAAAACGGAATAGACGTACTGAAAAGAGATCTACAGAATTATTCCTCAATTCTACTCTGGGCATAGACTTAAAGGAAACAGGTCAATGAAGAGATTATCTGCACTCCTATAGTTGCCTGCAACATTAGTCATAATAAGGCATGAAACAATCTGTGTCTATCAGCAGATGAATAGATTTTAAAGGTATGGCATATACTTCTGGAAAACAGTATGGACGATTCTCAAAACATTAGAAATTGAGCTCCCATTTTACCCAGCGATACCACTCCTGGGAATATATCCCAGAGAGGCAAAAAAGTATGGTCGAAGTGACATCTGTACTTGTTTGCTCATTGCAGCACTCTTTACAATAGCCAGAATCAGGAAAAAAACCTGAGTGCCCAAGAACAGGTGACTGGTTAAAGAAACTTTGGTACATCTACACAATGGAGTACTATGCAGCTATTAGAAAAGATGAAGTCATGAAATTTACATACAAGTGGTACTACATGGAAAGTATCCTGTTAAGAAAAATGAGTCAAAAAGAGAGGGATAGACATAGAAAGACTGCACTCATCTGGGGAACGAATCACGACCATCCTGTTATTCATTGATTGCCTCGAGCAGGTCCCAGTAATGTCTCCTTCATTCTAGCCTTGAGATTTTTAAGAAAATGCTATATTCAAGGCTCTTTAGGAGAATGAGACCCATCATTGTTACTGGTATTTGGCATATTGGGTATGCCACGGGGAATTTGCCAGACTCTGCCGTATGGGCAGGTTACATTCGGTAGCCTGCCAGTTTGTTCAAAGTAGGAATGAGATAATAAGATGTCTGGGAGCTGGGTTTTATAGTCTCTGAGTCTTGGCCGTTGATGGGATTACACGGTGCCAGGGGGCCAGTTGGTGGGTGCAACCCCCGCCTACTGGAATTTGGAGGATCTGGGTGGAGGATGCTCAGCCCCGATCCGAGTAGGCTTGGAGATCTCAGCCCCGGGACCTGCGTGCCTTTGTTCCTCTGCTGGTACCTTCATGTGTGTGGAGAGTGGTCTCAGCATGGTGGTGGCTGGTTCTGGAGGTCTTCGGCTGCCGGAGCCCTGGTCGGGGCGGGGAGGACATAAAGTAACAAAATAGGAGACTAACACCCAAGAGTGGCTGAGATTAGTACCAGGAGTTTTGCTCCATGGCTTGGAGGCAGCCACACATTCTAGGGAAAAAGGGAGCTCAGATAGAGAAAGGAGGACCAAATAAAGGGTGTTGGGAGGATCCTCCCAGGATGGGAGAAGCATGCTGAAAGTAGACTATAGACCAAACATGATTGCCACTCAATGCCTCTCTTGCAAACCACAGCACCCAAAAGGAGAGAGAGGGAAATGCCCTGCCACAGAGGAAGGGTGGGATGGGGGCTGGGGGGTGGGAGGGATACTGGGACCCGTGGTGGTGGGAAATGGGCACTGGTGGAGGGATGGGTGTTTGATCATTGTATAATTGAAAACCAAGCACAAAAATTTGTAAATCTACAACTGTACCTCATGGTGTTTCACTAATAAAAATTAAAAAAAAAATAAAGGTATGGCATATAAACACATGTAGTTATGTATTATTCAGTCATAGAAGAAGAAAATCCGCCTTTATTTATTTTCTTTTTGGGTCACACCCAGTGATGCTTAGGGTTGTTCTTGGCTCTCCACTCAGCAATCCCTCCTGACAGTGCTCAGGGACATGGGATGCCAGGGATCGAACCTGGGTTGGCTGCGTGCAAGGCAAACGCCCTGCCCACTCTACCATCGCTTCAACATGAAAATTTACCATTTGTGACAACAGGGATGATTCTTGAGGGCATTATGGTAAGTGAAGCCATAAGACCAATTCTGTATGATCAGATTTAAGTGTGGAATCAAAAAGCTGAACTCATGCCACAGTGGTTACCAGGGTGTGGAAGGGAGAGAGTGCATTTGGAATGAGGTGACATGACCAAAAGGCACCGACTTCTAGTTACAAGTGAATGAATTCTGGATAAGCGATATATAGCAGGGAGGAAGAGAGTTAACAGTGACATATGTGGAAGTTTCTTAGTAGACTGGAAAAATATTTTTGAACCAACCTGACTATGCTTGTGCTCCAGTCTTTGGGGCCACCTCCCTGGGCCTTAAGAGTAGATCTTAAGTATTTCAGCACATACAAATACAACAGAAATAACATGAGGTGATGGAAATGTTAACTAACCTTATTGTGGTAACTATTTTGCAAGTGTGCATTAAATCCCCACACTTTGCGATCACATGCCAACAAAATCTCAGTAAAAATAGGAAGATTGTGGAAATTTAGGGTGCATCTATTTCCTGAGAAAACTCCAAATCAGTATCTTTTCAAGCAGTAATTTGCTTCTACTCTATAAATAATATTTCTTTCCTAGAATGAGGTTTGTTCCTATAAGTGGCAATATTTCCATCATATAAAAATTGTTATGTTTGATAGCTAAACAACATTATTTGGATATTTTGAAGGCATTTAAAAATACATTAGCTTTGTGTCTGAAGACTTGGGAAATGTCTGGCATAAAGTGATAACGGTGATCCTGCTGAGAACTGATAAATATTTCTGGGAATCCTTTAAACCTAGAGATGTCACTCAGCCATAGGGGTAGTAAACAGTTAGGACCCCACTTTCATTAAGATCACGTCCTACCTCTTCAGGCCAGATGAGCGAGCGGAGGGAAAGTGTGTCAGGCTAAGGCCTTGGGGCTGTGGCCACACAACAGGGAACACAGACCATACCAGGACCATCTAGTTTTTTGCTTTTTTGGGTCACTCCCGGTGATGCACAGGGGTTACTCCTGGTTCTGCACTCAGGACTTAGCCCTGGCAGTGCTCAGGGGACCATATGGGATGCTGGGAATCGAACCTGGGTTGGCCGCGTGCAAGGCAAACGCCCTACCCGCTGTGCTATTGCTCCAGCTCCACCAGGAGCATCTTGACTCCACCTTCACAGCATGAGAAGCAGGGCTGGAATAAAAGTTCCTGGGGGCGGCAGGGAGTGGACGGCAGGGAGTGGAGTGAGATTTTTTCCCTATCTTAGAAGGTGAGAATGGAAAGCACAGAGATATGAAACATGCTCGGCTGGGCAGAGGTGAGAGATGGTTGTGGATCTACCCACAGGGGTCGTCCAGGCAACAAGCAAGATGGCTCGATTCCTCCGCCTCTCGTGGAGAGCCCAGCAAGCTACCGAGAATATCCTGCTTGCACGGCAGAGCCTGGCAAGCTCCTTGTGGCATATTCGATAGGCCAAAAACACTAACAACAAGTCTCACAATGGAGACATTACTGGTACCCGCTCGAGCAAATCGATGAACAATGGGGACAGTGCTACAGTGCCCCCCTCCCTCAATACCCTCCTCCTCTAAGAGGATCTGGTAACTGTAATAAAATATGTGGAAACAGGTACTTTCCCCCTGGCAGGCCCACTGGGATCGCGCTGAAGAACTCACTGGGGCCTCCCACCTTGTCACAGCTGAGGCATGTGGTAACAAGAATGCAGGCTGGCTGCACCCCACTGGGGTGGCCGCTGGGACAGATTCATCAACATGGAGGTGTTGCAGGGACCAGAAGGACATGGGGAAATTGAATGGGATCAAGCATCGGAGGGAAAGGCCAGGGAGGGTAGAAGTCAAGTGCTCGAAGATAAATGGTTGTGAACCCCCGGGGCCAGCAATAAATACACTTAGGGAGAGAGGGCAGGCAGAGGGAAGGGAAAAGTGGACAGAATATTCAAGGGGAAGAAAGATGCTGAATGGAACAACTGCTCCCAAGAAAGCAGGACAAGAAACCAAAGGGAATTCATGAACCGCGAACAAAGCGATGGAGAGCCGAGCGTTCTCCTTCCCCTAGTAACCCACATGGGCTCCGGGGAGGAACAAGCGATGTGAATTGTGGAGGCATCAGTAGGCGAGATCGGAGAGCACCAAAACGGAGTCGCTGTTGAACGGAGGGACGGGTAATGGATGAATTCCAGATGGAGCCCGTTTTGGATGGCAAACTATCCTCCCCGATCAAGATTCACTTGGGGCGTGGGGGAAGGAGTTCAGATGTTGAATGTGTGAATTTCCCCGGCGAAGAGGTGACCCCCGCAGGACGCAGGGCTGACTTTGAACAGGTGATGGAAATGGCCATCCTGGTGGGGCAAGTGCACAGGAGCCAGAAGTCCAGCGAGGCCTGAGTTCCAGTCTCGGCTTTCCTACCTACTCTCAAACTTATCCATCACGTAACCATGGGCAAAGCCCTTGCCTTCCCTGGGCAATGTCCTCTGAGCTTCTGAGTCTGATTAGAAACCTGACACTTACAGGCTGCAAATACTACCCTATGTACCATGGACGCACCATGGATGGTAGCGATTATGATTACTTGGAGCCAAGTTTACGTCTCGAACCGAATTGAGATGGGGGAAGTCTCAGAAATTCCTTGAGTTGGAAAGAGTTGAGAGCCAAACATGTATAAATATACTCCAGAAAGTTAGATTACAAATTCATCCCCACCCCCGCAAATTGGGATGCTCCATAATGTAACCGCAAATAATGATTAAGAATAACAGAAGAGCTATTAAATTACACTCCTTTTCATTATTAGGATTCTCCTTGTCTCTAAAAATGTGTATATCTCTACCAGGAATTAGTGGAAAGTGTTCTAAGAAGCATTATTACCACCTGAATTCTGAGACTTAAATTATTTTAATAAAGTTTCTTTTTTCTTTTAAAAAACACAGCAGATAGTTTTAAGAAATCCTGCAATTTTACCTGATGAGGTCTTGAACGCGACTGTTAAAAGCATCACCTTGGGAGGGTTTGTTTTTCATTTCCTGTGTTGATATTTTTGGTGTATCTGGCCGGCTGTTCCCATCTGGTCGATTGGCAATTAAGCAGTCAAAAACCACAACGCTGACTTTGAGAAGTCCAGTTGTCAAGCCTTCAAATACTTGCTTATTTGTATTTCTTCCCAAAATAGCATTATTTTCATCTGGAACATAAACCTAGATGAAAAAAATACAATAATTATGTTTCGATAAAACCACCCAAAATGAACAGAGAGGATATGGAAAGTTTCTGAAATCAGAAATGACTTTGAAATTCTAGAGGTGGCTATGGAATGCTCCAATATTGGTTCTGAAGTCAGACTGCTGAATTCAAATCTCAGCTTTGCTTATTAACTGAGTGGCCAAGAGCAGGTTAATACTTCCAAGCTTCAATCCCTACACTTAAAAAAGGGATAATGACATCACCTATATGATAGGAATCTTGTGAGGATTGGATAAGCTGACGCCAATACATATAAGAGTAAGTACTTAAATAGTATTTACTCAACTGGATATGTATTGATAACGAATACAGAAAATGAATTAACTGGTAAGCAGCATTTTTCTTCTTTGGCTCTTTGGGTCACACCCAGCGATGCTCAGGGATTACTCCTGGCTCTGCACTCAGGAATTATTCCTGGCGGTGCTTGGGGGACCATATGAGATGCTGGGAATCAAACCTGGATTGGCTGTGCGCAAGGCAAATGCCCTACCCGCTGTGCTATTGCTCCAGCCCCAGCAAATTTCTTTTATGTGAAAAACATCTCATATTTGGGGCTGAGTAAGAGAGATAGTACAGTAGGTAGATTGCTGGACTTTGCCGTGGCTCACCAAGGTTTGATCCCTAGCACCTCATATGGTCCCCGGAGCCAGTCAGGAGTGATCCCTGAGCACAGAGCCAGGAGCAGACCCTGAGCATCACCATGTATAGTACCCTAGCCCCGCAACCCCAAATCTCATTTTTGGCTACAGAGAGATCTCACAGGGCTAGAGAACATACCTGACCTGCACAACGCCCTGGGACCAACAACCCCCTCCCCCCGCCTCCCAGCATGCTATGGCTGTCTAAGCACCAAAAACAAACAGATATATCTTATTTGCATTCATCAGAGAATGAAAAAAAATATTCCCTCCCCCTTTCCAGTATCTGAAGCCACATTCAGCTCTTTGTTTATAGTTATGGAAAGTTTGTACGTTAAAAGTTGGGACCTGGGGCCAGAATCTGGGCTGAATGCTAGGAGTATATAGATGAATTCCTCAATCTTTCTCCATCTGTTTCCTCAATTGTGAAATAAAAAAAATCAGAGTGTCTAGTAAGTTAACCTGTGTAAATTCTGGGTAACGCCTGTCTTCTGCCATGGCTGGGCGGGGTCCATCATTTGGCTGTACATACGGCAGCTAAGCTGGGCATCTAAACTGCCTTTTATTTTTATTTTCAACCAACCCTCTCCAGCACAACACACAGCCTTGCTTTTTGGAGATCTTTGGGAATGAATTCTTAATCCTCCTGGGGTTCTGAGGCATAGCTTTCCTTTCCCATGCTACCCTAAATTTTAGGTATGGGCAACTGCTTTTCAATCATTTGCTCTCCACATTAAAAATACTTTACATGACTTTCCTTCCCACTCTCTTTACTTTTATCAGGGCTTTATCTACTTACTATAGTGTTAGTGGGGCAACTGGCCAAATAACTTTCTGTGTAATTTATAGACTTTAAAATTAAAGATACAACTTTTGAGTTACTTTATACATACTTTTTCTTATAGAAAGAATAATTTGTTTCTGGCAAATCTGATTTCTCCATCATAGAACTTCATATTCCTTTCTTTAAAGAAACAAAGCAAAACAACAACAAAACCTTGCACTTGGCTTTTTATTAAGTACCTTGAACAACACTCAATGCATGGTCACCTAGAAAACTCTTGCTTATCTAGAAATACTTCATGCCCTGATTGCATCGTTTAAGAAGAGACCTGTTATGTTCTATATTAAACTGAAATGTACCTTAGGTCAGAACAGTGTAATACTAAGTTAACATTGTATATATGCTTAGTTGCATTTGAGATTTTCTTCTAGTTAATGTGTAGTGGATACTTTTTTCTTCTAAGCTACCAAAACCTTTTTCTGAGAAATAAATCACTATATATTTAATGTAAAAATTCTTATACTATATAGAATAAAAAATTGCAGATTAAGTAGGTTAATACCCAGTCTTGGCATTTTACTCTTTATAGTATGTAACCTAGCTATTTGAGTCTTAAAACTGTTTTCCTGGTAATAGTTTCCATTTTAGACTTTAAAGTTAAAGTCTAAAATGAAAGACTACTCCTTGCAAACAAAACAACAGTGTCACTTTAATCTGATTTTCCCCCTTCTTTTTGATTTATGCTTATGTTAAATATGTACAAATGAAGTTAAATTAAAAAAAAGAAGAATGTGGTTATGCGGGGTCCCTATTATGGGGCTATGTGAGGTCCCTGTTCTCTCCTGTGCAGAGCCGCTGCAGAGGTTAGAGGTGGCTGTGTTGCCTAACTGCCTGTCCATCTGAGCCAAGGCATCAGGGTGCCATGGACATTCCCAGGTGCCCCTCACTCACCAAAGGTGTGCCCTCTGGGACAGCCTGCAGAAGGAACATTGAAAGTGGTCCTCTTTCATAGAGGGCACCCTCGGGCTCAAGAAAGACCCTCTCCTTATCCACTGGGACTGTTGCTGGGATTGCAGCTTGACACAGTCCTGAGTGTGAAATGATGCATTTACTATTATTAAATACTAAGTGTTAATAACAAACAACAACAACAACAACATAATTATTATTTAATTACAGACACCCGAGTGTCTATAATCATTCTCCCCTTGCCTGCAGTGCTGGGCAGCGAGATCTGAACTGCAGAACCAACAGACCAGGTCTGGCCCACAGCTGCAGAGAAAGCCCACACTATGGGGATTCATCTAGAGTTGAGGGCGACGGAAAATATCCCCCACCCGCCCCGAACACCAGCAGTGACCAGGGAGGCTCAGATTCCTGGGACTCTAGCAGTGACCTCTCTGCTCCCCGGGGTGTTGACTTTCATTACCCTGCACTGGCACTAAGTGGCAGATGTGTCTGTGTGCAAAGCAACACACACACATACACATGTGCATGCGTGCGTGTGCGCGCGCGCACACACACACACACACACACACACACACACACACACACACCCCTACCACAGCAGCCAAGGGGAAACCATCGAGGAATTATACCCTACACCCTGTAATCCTGATAGAAGGCCTACACAGCAAGAAGGAGGAGCTGCTCAGCACTTGGAAAATAATATACAATCTCAAGAAAATGATGAAACAGACGAAATACACCATCACCAGACAGAAACCCAGAGAGAAGTTCAAAGGTAACAGAACTAGGTAACTTATCTGCAGAAGCGTTTAGGGGAATGATTTTAACAATGCTTTGAGGAATAGATGACCCAAACAAGAACTACAACAAGGACAGAAAATTTATTTTAACAAATTTCAAACAGCAATAAAAGATTTAAAGAGTCCAAGAACTAAACTAAAAATACAAGATGGGGCATAATAATGAACAGTAAGTTGCCAACAGAATCAACTGAGATGAAAAATATGAGAGTGAAAAACAGATCAGAAAAAGGAAAAAGAGAGTTAAAAACAACAACCTCAAACAACGTAGCCCTGTGGGATGATCTCAAGAGGAACACCATCCATATCACAGAGTCTCAGACCAAGAAGAGAGAAAACACAGAAACCCTACTGGAAGAAATAATAGCCACGAACTTCTGTCTCTTGGAAGGGGAAACAAATTTAACATCCAAATACAGGAGACTTTTTTGTTTTGGACTCTGAGTTCAAAACAAAAATGATACCCAGAGACATCACAAGATATAATCAAAGTGCTAAAAGGCAAATGGTAAGAACAGAATACCATACGCATCTAGGAAAAATGAATCACATAAAAGGAACCACCTATGTGATTATCTGTGAACTTTTCACGCAGAGACAAAAGGCAACGGCACGTTGTATTTAAAGTGGTGAAAGAAAAGGATGTTCAAGTGACACGACTCTCTCCTGCCAGATTAACACGCAGAATTGAAGACGGGGTAGAGTTTCAGAGACGGACAAAAATGAAAGCAATACATCACCACCAAACTAGTCTAGCAAGAAACGTGAAAGGGACTTTTTATAAAATGAAAAGCAATCCCGCCTAGAAGTGGCCAGGCACCAAAAACAAACAGTGAGGGTGGGGAGGGGAGTAAAAATGGAATTAGTGTAAGATCAAGCTTCCCCATCTGTTCTGGAAGGAGACCCTCGACTTTTCCCAACACAGATGGGAAGATGTTTCCTGCCTTGGGGCTGTCTGGGTCAGGAGAAAAATCCTCTTGTGGCTCTTCTTAATTTATCTTTTTCAGTTTTTCTCCAGAGACAGATTTGCCCCTTGCAATGGTTAGATTACATAGAAAAAAAAAAAAGAGCCGTAAGGCCTGCTGGGGCCCAGATCTCCTGTACTGCCCTCTTCCTTCACCAGCCGTCCCAGGGGTCCCCCAACTCAGTCTGTCTGGGGGGCCCTGAGGCAACCCGGCTGTATGTGCTGGCTCGGCTCCCTCTCTTGGTGAAGGCATGAGGCCCCTAAGTTGGGGTGGGCCACAGCTGGCTGCCCCCGTGAATATGATTGCGTCCACAGCCTCTCATGCCTTGAACATCAATCTGCATGTTCCATTTCAGGGGCAGGAGGCCTCTCCCCACAACCCTGTGCCGAGGAACATGCAGGGTATGTAAAATGATGCTCACAGCACTGATCTTACCCGAGGCTCTGCTCTCGGCATGCGTCCCACTCACCCATTCTGCACAGCCCTCGGAACGAAAGGCAGCTCAGCCCTGGCTGCCACACTTTAGAATTTTTACTATTATAATACAAAACTTCCAAATTAAAACTTTGCCCCCCCAAAAACCCTGGCAGATTAAAAACAGCAATGATAAACCGAGACAACACTAAAAAAACAAAGAAAAAAATGGAAATAGATACCGACATTTCATTCAGTACCCTAAAATGCCAATGGTTCGAATCCACAAATTAAGGGACAGAGTGGAGGACTGAATAAAAAAAAATGAAACCCAACTTTTTGCTACCTGCCGGAAACTCAACTTAGTTCCTAAGATGGCTTAAA